TAAAAGGGAAAGTGGCAGGTCAAATGACACTCCTTGATTTCGTGTACTTGTGGACGGGAGCAAAGGCCAGAGAGGAAAACCAGGCAATGGTAGAGTGTATATCAAAGGACATTCAGGAGTTAGGAAGAGAGTGCGAGATAATTATACAAGGAGACATGAATGCGCACATAGAAGATATAGATGGGTATACCGACCCGACAGGCAAAATGATCATGGATATGTGTGAAAGGCTTGATTTGATCATTTGCAACAGTACCGAGAAGTGTGAAGGGCAAATAACAGGGGAGGTAGGAAGGCTTCAGTCGACGATAGATTATGCACTGATGTCACATAGGATGTATGATAAGCTCAGGGAAATGCACATAGATGAAGGTGGCTCCAGAAGTCTGGGTAGCGATCACAAACGTATCAAGCTAAGTTTTGGAAGAGCAGTGAAAGTGGGAAGGAGACAAGATGAGCAACTACAGGAAAATTTTTATCCAGAAAGGCAAATTGAAATAGCCACTAAACAAATTGAGAAAGTAATCACGGTGGATAATAAGACAGTGTGGACATACACGAATCTAATTAGACTCTTTGAGATAGAGCTTGCTAAGACGCGTGACAAGTCACCCCGGAAAAGAAGACACAAACCCAAAAGTTGGTAGGATGAGGAAGTTAAGAGAGCCATAGCAAAACGTCAGGAAGCCTCTAGGGAACACAGACATGCTAAGCAGCGGGGTGAACCGACAGATGATGTGGAAAGAAAATGGGCAACCTTTCTAAGCTGTAGAAGGGATGCATCCCTTCTGATCAATGAAAAGATTAGAAGGAAGGGAGCTCAGTGGCTGGCAGAAGTACATAAAAAAGATAGAAAGGCAGCTGCGAAATTTTGGAACCATCTAAACTCCCTAAGGAATGAGACGAGCCTAGAGCAGAACTTTATAACTACAGCCCAAGGTGCTAGGCTAGAAGGGGACGAAGCTATTGAATATATAAGAACAAGAGTGACAGAAAAATTTCAACAAAGAAGTACTTTATGCGCCACAATAGACAAAGACGAATCAAGTGGTGCAATGGCTCCATTTTCACAACAAGAGTGGGAAAGGGCTGAGAAAAGGGTTCCTAGTAGTACATCAACAGGCCCAGATGGCATTCCAATTAGGCTGATAAAAACATTAGGTCCGAAGTCTAAGCAGGCTTTGAGAGAGGCAGTGAGTACAATAATAATCGATGGTGAAGTTCCCGATGGATGGAAACTTAGCAGGATGAGCATGATCTAAAAAGGAAAGGGGGACAAAGCTGACATAAACAACTACCGTCCTATAACAGTGACATCAGTGGTCTACAGGCTGGCGATGCAGATTATAAAGGAAAGACTGCAGGCATGGATAGAGGATGAGGGGGTGCTGGGGGAACTGCAGAATGGGTTTCGGAAACACAGGAGGTTGGAAGACAATCTGTTCTCACTGACGCAGTGCATCGAAATAGCACAAAAAGAACACAGGCCCCTGTGGCTAGCATTTTTGGATATCAAGGGAGCGTACGATAGCGTGGTTCAAGAGGAATTGTGGGGAATACTGGACACACTAGGCGTGGAACATGTAGTCACTAATCTTTTAAAGGGTGTCTATAAAGGTAACAAGGTAGTTATAAAGTGGGAAAAACAGGTATCGACGCCTGCAGAGGTAAAACGGGGGCTTAGGCAGGGGTGCCCCCTGTCACCCTTATTATTCATGATGTACCTACAAGGATTAGAGGCAAAATTAGAGGGAAGTGGACTGGGCTTCAACCTCTCTTTAGTCAAACAAGGAAAACTTATTGATCAGGCACTACCAACATTAATGTAGGCAGATGATATAGTGCTAATGGCCAACAACGAGGAAGATTTGCAGAGATTGATGGACATCTGCGGTAATGAGGGAGATAGGTTAGATTTTAGATTCAGTAGGGAAAAATAAGCAGTCATGATTTTCAATGACAACGGAGGTAGTACGCTTAGAATACAGGAGGTGACGCTAGAGATAACAGATAAATACAAATATCTGGGCGTATGGATAAGCAATGGGACCGAGTATCTGAGGGAACACGAAATATACGTGACGACTAAAGGTAACAGGAATGCAGCAGTCATGAAAAATAGGGCACTGTGGAATTACAATAGGTATGATGTTGTGAGAGGAATATGGAAAGGGGTCATGGTTCCTGGGCTGACGTTCAGCAATGCGGTCTTGTGCATGAGATCAGAAGTTCAAGCAAGATTAGAAATTAAGCAACGTGGAATAGGTAGGCTTGCTTTAGGAGCTCACGGGAATACACCAAATCAGGGAGTACAAGGTGATATGGGATGGACATCATTTGAGGGCAGGGAAGCTAGCAGCAAGATAAAATTTGAGAAGCGATCGAGAGAAATGGGGGAAGAGCGTTGGGCTAGGAAGGTTTTCAGCTACTTGTACATGAAGAATGTCGATACAAAATGGAGGAAGCGAACCAGGAAGTTGACTGGTAAATACTTAGAAAACAGCAGGTGGCCAAACCAAAAAGAACTATCGGTTAAGAAAAAGTGAAGGAAACGGAGACTGACATGTGGAGAATGGGCATGATTAAGAAGTCCGCACTAGAGATCTATCGAACTTTTAAGCAGGAAATTGCCAAGGAAAGGATCTATGATAATACTCGGGGTAGTTCTCTACTGTTTGAGGCCAGGACGGGAGTACTGCGAACCAAGACATATCGGGCCAAATACGAAGGGGTCGACACAGTATGCAGTGCGTGTGGAGAGGAAGAAGAAACTGCCGAACACTTGATAATGTTCTGTAAAGGGCTTCACCCTATAGTTCAGGATGATGGCGCAGAGTTTTTCAAAGCACTGGGATTTAGGGACAGCGAGGGCAAAATAGACTTTAAGCGGGTAGACTTAACTAGAAGGAGGTTATCTGATTGGTGGCTGAAGTCAAGACACGAGGGAAAATTAAACCCTTCACTGCGAAGTACGAATCCTCAACTTCATTATTTAAAGGAAAAAAAAAGATAAATGTAATGGTTAGTTCACTAAGTATTATGGCTAGGTGGCGCTAGCCGCCGCCCGATCTAAAGGGTACAGCCACATCCATCCATCCATCCATCATCATCATCGGTACTTGGCCGAGAGAGGGCACAACATGATAGCACCAACATCATCATTGGGACTGGGAGTTGTGGGGGTTGCGTGTGTAGGGAAGAGGGGAGTTCGGCCTGGTTGGGGAGAGTGGCAAGACGTAGCGGTGTGTTGTGCGCGATTTAGGTTTAGCGCGTGACAGCGCGAATGAACACATGGAGAGGCTACGGGCCCTTACTATTGGCTGAGGGGCTTGTAGCCTCCACAGGGCTGAAGAGAACTTCTGAAACCGAGTATAATGCCTGAGTTTCCTCTAGTGTATATTAAGTAAACTCTATGGTCGTGTGTGCTAACGGCAAGCCGTTTTTATACACCATACACCGTTTGGTAGTTCTTAGAGTTCCTAAAACTTCAACGCGTTTTAGTTATCAGTTGCGAGATAACGCGACGGGCTCGCATTGTGCGCGCTCTAAATGTCGTCGCCTCCCCGGAGTGCGGTCTCTCCTGGGCGCGTGCTTATCGGACTCGTAATTCCGGTGAAGACGAAGGTCACTTCGGTCGCGGCCACTTTTACGATAGGAGCGCGCTGCTGACACATGATCACGGTGTGCACACGATGAACTACGGATTGTGACAGTTCTTCACGCTTGTCCTGTGCACGCTTGTGCGCTCGTTTCTTGCGTCTGTCTGTTTGAACAGCGTGCTTTAAGTGTCGAGCTGTGACAGTAGTTAGTCTGCGCTCGTTCGGTGTATGCTAATTTCGGGCGTTCTTTCTGCTTGAGGTGTGCGCTGCAAGTTTCGAGCTGCTTGCTGTTCTTCACGTGACTTCGCAATTTGTTGTTGTTGCTGAAACAGTGCACAAGAAACGCTCAAATACCTCGTAAACACACGTTTCAATTTCATGTTATACCGATTCCTATATAGGGGGATCAGCCATGTTTTCTTCTTTTTCAGTCACTGTTCCCATAACTCGCTCTTGCTAGGCACTTCAGCCAGCAAGATTGGTCGCCGACCCATGAGATGTTATCGCTGGTTGGTTGACTCCTATTAAACTGGTCCAATCCGTCATGGGGATCAGCAATGAAACGGGTGGTGCTTTGATAGATAAATGAATTTCTTTATATTATCAAGTTGTTTAGCAATATCTGTAGCAGTGCCTCCTCTATATAAAATAGAGGAGGCATTGTCTGTAGTGTTGTGGCTAGGAGGACCCAGCGAAGAAGACGACAAAACGCAGCAGTGGGTGGCCGACGCAGCTAGCGGGTTTCCCGGCTAGCCATAGGCACAGCGTGGAGGGGAGCGCCGAAGAAAGACGATCGTTCGACTCAAGTTCTCGTCACAACCTTAACAAACCCTGTACAACTTTATTTACCGTAAGCCTTTTAAGCGCCGCTAACGGCACGTATACATTATCGTTGCGCCCCCCCCCCAGCAACTTCAATAATCAAACCAAAACTTTGACAAGCGACACCGCAATACAACAATAACAGCAATATCTGTTATAAAAGGGGAGATTTTGTTGATCTGTGAAATGACCACAGTTGTGAATATTTTGTGAAGGGCTGAGAGCACGGTTTGTGATCACAAGGGGGACTGAAGTGCGAGGACGAAGAAGAAGAAGACCAATCCCGCCAGCTGCTGATCCCCTAACGTCATACGATCAAGATTCGTGAATAAAGCAGCTAAAAACTCATCTCACCTCCCAAGGCCAATAGGGGTTCGTCAACACCGGCGACGCGGAGTGGCTTTCAGCCAGACCTGCGACCCTGCGCCAATGAATATGGATGTTGGTGGTGTTACTGACGTTCCGGTACAGTTGCATTCTTTAGCAAGTGTCGACGACGACCACGTCGAGGAGTGCTCTTGTACTACCAACCATAGTGTGGTCAACTTATCGTACCTGTGGACGATCTCAAATTTCAGTATGTGCCAGCAGAGTACCGGTCAAGCTTTGCTCAGTTCAGTTTTTTCCGGGGGTAATAACGAGCCTCGGACGTGGCGCCTCAAGCTGTTCCCGAGGGGATCAGACGGAGATTACGAGCAGTTCGTGTCCATTTTTCTCGTCTCCTGCAACAGGAGGCGCGTCTCCGCTAAGGCTCGGTTTTCGATCATCGATGCCAAAGGAGAACAGGCTGTCCGAAAGCACACCGAGACCCTCATCTTTGCGAGCAAGGACGACGGCTGGGGATTCGGAAAACTGATTAGCAGGCGAGCACTGAAGCAGAATAGTAGCACACTCTTGCCCAGTGACACGCTGACCTTGAAGTGCGAAGTGGTCGCCTTGGAGAGTAGCACCACGGCTGAGCCCAGAATGAGCAGCGAAACGACGTCCCCAGCTCTACAGAAATGCCGGCTCCCCGACGACTTCACGTGGCTCCTGGAAAGCGGCAGCAACACCGACGTTAGGCTTACTGTGGGAAGCGAGACGTTCCGGGCTCACAAGAGCATCCTGGCTGCCCGGTCACCGGTGTTTAGGGAGATGTTTGAGCATACGACGATGGAGGATGAAGGGGTAGTCATCGCGGACGTCGAGCCTGACGTGTTTGGCGTTCTCCTGCAGTCCGTCTACACTGGGTGCGTGCAGGAATCCATCGAGAAGCCGGACTGTCTTCTCAGGGCCGCAGACAAGTACAAACTAGACGGGCTGAAGGCGGCGTGTGAGCTTGCTCTAATTTCTAGTTTGAGCGTCGAGACGGCCGCTGACACTCTCATCTTGTCCCACCAGCACGACGCCCACGCGCTGCGATGTCAGGCCCTAGACTTCGTGTGCTCGCACATGGACGACGTAGTCGAGACTCCAGGCTGGGCGACCATCTGCAAGAGCCACATTGAGCTGCTGGAGCAGCTTTTGATGACACTCATCAACGAGCGTGGTGAGCCACCGTTGAAAATTAGCAGGAGCTCGTAAACGCTCAGTATATGTCAGAGATTGTGCCTTGAGACAGTGTGTAGCGTGGCCTGTTCACCCAAAAAGCACTTGTTATATGTTATTCAAAAGAAACCACAATGACTGGGACTACAATTTAAAGTTAGCAAAAAAGTTCATATGGCAAGTAAACGTCAGTGCACGGTAAACTTCGGTAGTCTTTTCCGCAAAATCAAGATGCCTCATCCCTGTGTAGTTCTTCTGGAAGCTTCCGTTGCTCACTTCTGTGTTCTCGTCATTCAAATACTTGCTTGACAGGGCTGTGAAAGTACTTGGTAACTTTTAGGGGTGGAACTTCTTACACCGTGGGTCGTTCCTTCCTCTGTAGTAGTATGTAGCCACCTCTACTTTTTGAGTTGCTCTATAGATGACGTTGTGTGTATATGTCCTTTGTAATAATATAACTAGATGGTGTTAGTGGTTTTCACAGCATATCCACGGAATGAATGACGAGTGAGGCGAAGCGTCAGTCCATGCGTCCGTTCGTTCCAAGGAGACAGACGGACGGACGGATGGGTGGGTGGGTGCACGTGGGTGGGTGGACGGAAGGACGGATGGATGGATGGACGGTCGTACAGACGGACAGACGGACAGACAGACAGACAGACAGACAGACAATTCACGGTTTACTGATAAAACCCTCCGACGCTTCGCCCCACTCATCCCCATTCACTTCGTGGATATGCTGTGATTTTTATCAGTAAACTTAAGAAGCTAATGCTGCTGTTAAAGGTATGATGGTGATCTTGGGTGAGAGAGAGACTGGCAAAGTCGGATTTTGGTGACCTTTAGTCTGACTGAGTCTGGCCGAGAGTAATGTTGGTTGTTGTGAAACCGGCCAATTCCGGACGAGTAAATTTTTGAGCGCTGGAGCGCGAGTGTGACTGCCTGACCAGATAGAAGAAAGAAAGAAAAAAAAAGACAACCACCCGTTTGTAGCAAGAAGCCACAAGGGAATCCGTACGGATTTCTCAGCAAGAAAAGCCTCATAGTTGACGAAAAATTCATCGTAGTCCGGAGACCTTGTGCATTTCTGCAGAACTCATTTGCAACAATGCTGATAAGCCGAAGTAAAGGTGATCGTGATTGGGAAAGCTTTTGGGAGAGTCGTAGTCCGAGCGAATTAGAAGCAGTGAATCCATTTTGTTCATCACTCACTGTGTGAATAAGTAGGTGGGTGTACCAACCTTGAGAAAGCCGCACGTGGCTTTGAAATCGCTGCGTTCCGGTTCATCGACCAGAGCACGCCCATTTCGCACCCTGGTGCCTCAGCTGCCGACGCATACTCTCGTATTCAGATGGCCATCTTGTTTTGAACTGCCAAGGCATGTATTTGTGTAGCCGATTTTACTTGGTAAGTGGTGTCTCTGGGAGTTTAAAATTCGAGGAAGTGCCTATTCATACCACTACCCCTGTTATGATCGGCCTGCCTGGCTTTACGCCGCTTGTCGCATGAGACATTGTGGCTGACCCTGCCCTGATTTCTTCCGAGTCAGCCATCCCAGAAACACATCAAGAGCGGTGACAACAGAGAAATCGTTCTTGTAGTTATGCAAGGTCGTCGGCGCCCCTCGTAAAACTCTTTGGACACACCTGACCGACTGACGGATTAGGAAGAGCTAATTGGCTGTCGAGGCGGCTTGCTTTATCGTCAAGGTGCTCCGGGTGAAAGGCCCAGCCTCTGAGAACCGTCTGCGGATGCGCTTCCCACGTTCTCCATGGCGGCTTTATGCCGCTGTTTTCACAATTTGTGGTCTGCCTGGTGCCGCATGCCCATCACTGCGACAGACTACGAAATAGACTTTCACGTAAGAGTCAACGTCTTCGTGCTGGGCTGTGTCGTGTGCAGTGTTTTCTCCTTCGCCATGGGCTGAACTGGGCGTGCCTCTTCCCCCTTTCGGGGGTTAAGAACGAGGTAGCGTTTCACCTTCCCCCTTCTAGGGCGGAGGTGAAGATGACAAACTTCATTGGACTGTCCTGGCCTCCATCGTTTTTTTTTCCTGCAGGGATTCCTGGAAAGGCCAGGATATCAAACGCTAGCGCCGAGGCGCTACCGACAATCTCTCACAATCTCGCAGAAGCTCCCATAATGCTTCCGTTGAGAGCTTCCATAATGCTGCTCTCATCATGTAATAACAGGCTACCTGTATATAATGTAATTAAACGTTACTGTTAACAGCTCCGGGCTCCTCTCCTCGACATCTTCCCGAGATTCTGGCTGGCTCCGGTCTTATGGGCAGACCCCCGACTACATAACCGTTTACGAGAAGTCGTCTGGGCACCACTGCGCCGTCCTTGGATGCCGAAACAATCGTCCCAAGAGGAAAATATTACTCAGCACTGCCTGTGAAGATCACAACACGACGCGGGAATCATGCTGGTGTGGTGTTTTCAGATTGCGCCCAGATTTTTTAGATTCCATCCACTACGAAAAAAGCCTAGCTCCGCCGCAAGTGAATAAATGCAATAAACAGGAAAAACTACGAGCTAAGTAAAAGCGTGCGAGTAAGCACTTACGGCGTTTATTCAAGCCCGACGCTAGGTGTTCCGCTTTTCAGGATAGATTTGCGTGCAGTATTCCTGCAGTATGCGCCACAAAATCATTGTCCTACTCTTTCGCAGGCCGCATGTCAATAATAGGATATATTATTACTCACAGGTGCATGAACGCACTGCACACGTTTAGTACGATTGTAACGGTGTGCTATCACGGTGCAAAGAAACCCGAACGGCGGAAAGCATTCGACTCAGTCGATCATGCTCACTTTCGACGTGCCTCGATTGTCGGTAGGCGAACAGCCAGCGTTACCGTAGCACTATAAAAGCTTGCTCTGTCTGGCTGGCAGTTTCACACCGCATCCATGGAGAATGCCGCATATGTGTTCCAACTGCCAGGCATGACTGCCACATGATAAACACGTGCGGCGCATGAGCGTAAGACACAGCGGGATTCTAGTGTTACGTTCAGGCTGGCTTACAGCACAGGTTGTGTCTTACCACAGCCAAAGCACGCATGCCGCAGTTCAACTGAGTCGAAAGCAACACTTTTTGCTTTTCGCGTTGCTTTCAACCCAACAGTATATACCTGCCAAAGTTGCTTCCGCAGACTGCAATGCACACGCTGTAGACTTTGACTGACTAGGAAGGTTTTCTCGACGTTTCACACGACCAGAACTGCACAAGCCACGCCGCGGTGGTCTAGTGGCTAAGGTACTCGGCTGCTGACCCGCAGGTCGCGGGAGCGAATCCAGGCTGCAGCGGCTGCATTTTCGATGGAGGCGAAATGCTGTAGGCCCGTGTGCTGAGATGTGGGCGCACGTTAAAAAACCCCAGGTGGTGGAAATTTCCGGAGCCCTCTTCTACGACGTCTCTCATTATAATATTGCCGCATTCAACCTGCAGAGGAGAGCTCGCACAGCCAGAGAAGAAGACGAAGCTCTTGCCCGGTCCTCTTTACGAGCGCCTTTCATTTTTAATTAAAGTGAGCTCTTCTATATCGAACTCCTGCTGTGTCTGCGTCGTGACACTGGTGGAGGAGCTGGGTACATGTCCAGGACACCTACCAACAGCCCGGGATCAAGTCCACAAAGACTTCCGCTCGTCGAAACACCCGTTCAGCGCGCCAGCCGCCGCCTGTTAGGCCTGAGCCCAGAGTTCGGTCCTTGGACGGAAAACATGACCGCGCCGGGAAGCAGTTGCCCCACCATGACGAGCCCAAGCACGACACAGGTGACTGTTTTCACCCCTAAAACTCCTGTGGACTTCCATGGCAACTCATATGAGGACGCAGATGACTGGCTTGAGGAGTTCGAGCGCACAGCCAACGTTAACGGGTGGAACGCCGCACAGAAGTTGGGGTACGTGTATTTCCCTCTTCAAGACGGGGCTCGCACGTGGTTCACGAATCGTGTGTGGTCAACGTGGGACGAGTTCCGGCGAAAGTTCCTGGACTCCTTCGCAAACACCGAAAGGCGGGAGCATGCACAACGACTCCTTGAATCACGGATTCAAAAGCCCAACGAGTCTGTTGCTATGTTTGTTGAGGACATGGCTCGTCTCTTTCATCGAGCCGATCCCGACATGTCCGAAAACAGAAAGATCAGCCACCTCATGCGTGGTGTTAAAGAGCAGCTGTTTGCTGGTCTCGTACGGAACCCACCTTCAAACGTCGACGAATTTTTGAAGGAGGCGACCGCCATAGAACGCGCACTACAGCTACGGTACCGCCAGTACGACCGTCCAAACAACAGCGGACAAATCAGCGCAACCGCCGTGACCACGGTGACTCCTGACGAGCGTTCTTTGCGTGACCTGATACGCGAAATTGTGCAAGAAGAGGTGAAGAAGCTCGCCGCCACACCCAATGACTGCGCGATTGCGTCGGTCACAGAAGTTGTTCGCCAAGAAATAAGGCAAGCGCTTTCACTTCCCGAGCCAAACACTGAAATAGTTAGGCCAACATATGCAGACATTCTCCGTCGACAGCCTAGATCTAACGTGCCGCCACCTCAACAGTACCACCAGCAACAGCCGCCGACAGTGCCTTGGTACTACAGGGAAACGTCGACGCCGATGCGACCCCCACTCCGCAAAACCGACATATGGCGTACCCCTGACTACAGGCCCCTGTGCTTCCATTGTGGGGAAGCAGGCCACATCGTGCGGTATTGTCCTCATCGCGTTGCCGGGTATCAAGGATTTCCGTCCACTACCCCTCGGCGCTATTTCGACGGAAGACGCAACGTTGAAACGAGCGCGACGATCCCGCGAGACGTTTCTCCTGGGTTCCGGTCACGCTCGCCCTCCCCAGGTCATTTTCCCCGATCTAATAGAGGTAGCACCACGGACATGGCGAGAGGAAGGTCTCCCAGTCCACGCCGGGGAAACTAAAAGCAGCGACCTTAGGGGGGAAGGTTGCGAATTGCCGAAGATTTGAAAATCCCCCATTGCCGCCGCATGAAGTGCCACACATTTCGAATGAA